CTCACCTATCTGACAGCTCATCCCTTTGTCACTCAAAAGGCTTAGAACAGTGCAGTTGCTTTACCCAAGAGGACAGCACAACACACTTGAATAGTAATCTGTGTCACAGGAAGAGAAACCTTGTGCTTCGACTCTTGAGTTAAGTTCAGTCAGGAAAGGCCCACTGAACAATTTTATCTCTTGGCATAGACAGTGCAAATATGCCAAACTCACAGACCCTAGGACCTGCCACAAGCCCTGCTGCTGCTGCTGCAGCTGCTGCAGCTGCAGGACAGCCTGCTGAATTCAGGGCCCCTGAATTCCAACATCCTCTTTTTTCAGATTGGATGTTAAATAATTAATGCCCAAGCCTGGGTCAGAAGCAGATCTGTTTCCAAGTCTGTGTATTTTAGAAGCAATACACATAAGGCTTATGCAAAGCTAGCCTAGCTTGTCAAGTCCAGGATGAGGCTGCAGCTAAGGGTTGTGGTAAACTCAGTAAAACTGCAAAATGCCAATGTCAGCATTGTTCTGTGTCAGCCTGTAAAAGCTGGATGAGTAGATGAGGGCTTAGCACAGAGCCAACTGAGACCCTACCACAGAAGTATCCTAGAAAGGGAAGACTGAAATTCAGACCTTTAGTACAGAAAAAATGAGGTTTCTACTGTAAAGATTGGCAAGCTCGTCTTTAATGTTCACTATACCTGCATCCACGTCCGTTCCATTCCGATCGCTCAAGTGTTTGCATTCCAGCACTCCTTCCCTAGATTTTGCAAAATTGTGATTATTCAGGATCAGGCACACTCCACAGGGTCGGCTAGTCATTTTGTAAACTTCGGGCTGTTGAAAAGAAAGACTATTGGTGAAACTACTGTGCTCTTCAGGTGCTTCTCAGGCCTTGCTTGTGGCCCAGCAGGGTACAGAGCCAGTTGGCTTCCTCTCCAGGCACCTCCCCCTATACAGCTTTGTTCCCAGGACCTGGCAGTGCACTGCCCCACTACCTTTGGGTGTCTGTGCATGACAGCATCCCCCTAGACACCAACATCATGTTCAGCCCACATGGAGTGGTGCATTCACTCACATCTCAGTGCCAAGCTGTCCACCAACTGCCTATTTCCCAGTATAAACTTGGCCGACCTTGCTGCCCTTGCAGATGTTTCTGAAGTTCTAACACTGCAGCAGCTGTGCCTGTTGCATAGCTTTAGAATAAAGGATGTAGAGTGGTGTGTTTTTCTTTCTCTAAGAAGTGCTTTTAACAGTTGGTCTTACAATAACTGTTCACTTCATGAAGGGGTGATCTCGTATAAGACAAAATGATAATGTTTCTAAGAAACAAACTGACTTACCTGGGAAGAGTCATTACCACTGCCAGGAGGATCAGGTGCCACAGGTGATGCCAGACATCTGGCATGGGCTGTGAACAAACAAAAGAAGCTTGAGTAGAGAATGTAGCACTAGAGAGAGAAGAGAAGCTCTATTCCTAGTCTCCAGCAACCCCCCAGGATAAAACTGTCCTCTGAAAACACTCTGGTTGAACAGATGCTCCTGTTAGCTAAAAACCACTGGATAATCAATTAAAAGAGAAAAATGTACTGTGATCAGTTAGTAAGTAACTGGATATTTGATCGCTTTTTAGAGATGCATCTGTGCAAAGAAGTGAGAAGCAAATGGTGTAGGGAGTCCAAAAGCTGAAGAACAGCAAAAAATCTAAACATTCATTTTTTGAGAGTTTCAATTCCCTTCAAGGTCTCCCATGCTGCCTCTCTCTTCCTCTGTGACATGCACCTCTTCACCTGAAAAGCATTCATTATTACTCCTGTACAATACCTGATACCTATGTGTCACTTCAAGAATAACTATGGGAAAGAGGCAGTTTTGTTTTACCAAAGAGTTTTAATCCATCTTCAATTCTGTACCACAGGCTGCTGTTAATTTTGTCACAGAGATTCTTCAGCACACTTAGGTTGTCTTGTCCCAAAATCCCCTTCTTCTCCATCTCCGTGAAAATGTCGAGAATTGTCTGGGTAATCAGAAAGGTAGTTTGCTGTTAGGGCACACCCATGCTGCCACTGGCAGTGATATTTCAGCATGTGCACCTAAGTTTTAATCTACATGTGACCCACAGAGTCAATCCAGTTGACTGGTAGCTCAGTTTAGACCTCAGCTGAGCCAATTAAACCCAGTTCAACAAAATGTACAAGTCCTGTTAAGTACAAACATCTTCTCAAAACATACTCATTTCCCTTCGGCAGCTCAGAGGTGCCAAGATCTAGGAAGACCTAACCCAGGAGATCTAATGGTGGTCATACAGGAATATATAACATCATTTTTACTGACTGCTTTCATTCATTTGACTTCCAGTGGCTATCTTGTGCACTTAACTGAAACATAAGGATCACTGTAGTGACCATCTTGAGCAATGGCAAAAGGGGTATAACCACACAAGTATGGTCTAGAGATTGCTCAAAAGCAAAAGGAGACCCAAGGGACAGAAGCTGTTGTCAAACAGTGAGTGGCAGAGGACAGTGGTCACCCCAAGGATTTACTAGAACAGCTATCACTAGATGGTCAGTCTTTCCACTCAGAAAAGAGGCAAAATCATCAAAGTTTTCATTAGAGAGAACATAGTACCCAGCAGTCAGAACTGTAGGCTGGGACAGTGTAAGAGTACTGTACCTCCTGCTAGGCTATTTGTAAACTCCAAGCTCACTGGCCTTAGCCTTGGGTAAGGATCTGCTGTGTTTGGAAATTAAAAACCCAAACCCACAAAATAATAGCCACAGCAGGTGATTTTCTGTACTGATAACAGCTTAGAAAGCAACCAAAAAAATAATCAATTGGGGAAGATGAGTGAATGGGCTCACCAGTCTTTCACTGACTAAAGCCACGGAGCTCCCTCAGCCCCAAGCGGTGCTTGGAGGTGACAGCCCCTGTGCCCTGGCCTATGGCTCTGGGCTACGACACTGCTGCAAAACCTGTGCCTAACACCAGGAAGGACAAGCCCCATATGCACCCAGGGACACCCATTTTCTTTGGTGCTTTCACCGTAGGAGTGACACCATAGAAAAGTGACTCTGATTCCCCCATGAACAACCCAGTTGTCTCTATGGATTTTAATAATAATTTTTTAAAAGTATTGAATAAATTCTTACGGTCTCAGGGGTCAGCTTGCTTCTGGGTAATTCTTCATCCAAAAATAACTTGAGACACATCAGCTCATCTTTGGTGATCTCTTCAGAGAGCTGAAAGAGCAGGCAACTAGAAAGAGAACAGAGGGCACTGTTGCATCACGTCCCCAAACGCATCC